TTCGTCTTTTTGCAAACATTGCAAAAGAGATATTTATGAAAATGGCAAAAAGGTTGCAATTGAAGATAACGAATTCAACGATACTGCCGAAGCCGGGTACTCTGATTGTTACAGAACTTGTAGTTATAAGAATCTGATTCGTCTACAACAAAAATGGTGAGACTAAGTTTTCTTGTTCGTAGACTGCTCTCTTTCCCCACTAGCAAAGAAAGATATGATATCGAGAAAAAAGTTATCAAAGGAAAAGCTGAAAGTGATAGGTATTGTGAATATATAGTGGATAAGTTATGTAGTAGGTAACGAAAATTGTGTTTACAGCTTGTCAAATCTAGGAAACGACTTCAAAGTCTCGGCTTAGGACCTCTCCTAAGATGCGCGTTCGTTAGTTGACTGTGCGAGAATGAGAGAGAGAGAGAGAGAGATGGAATTCTCAAGTCTCTTCCTAGTTTTGATAAGCTGTACTCAAATACTTGCCTTTTCAGAAAGACGATCACTGAAAATATGTAGTTATTTTATATGTTTCAAATCATGCCCTACAGAAAATAACGCCAGCCGCCACTTGTAGTCATAAACCAAGCTAAGAGCACGCGAATGTACGATGTTTGCTGCCGCTCTAGATGTATCGTGAATAATGTTACTGATTTCGACGGAATTCCAGCGGAATTTTCTAGCGCATTCGATTACGATATATAAACGCTAGCCACGAGCATATCGACACAGTCAAGATCGCGAAGCGATCTAGTAAGGCGATGTACATTCGAATGAAAGTTGAAGTTTTAGTTTAAGTGTTTGTTGTATTTAAAGTGAAATAAAGTTAAATTTAATTATTCAGTGTAGTCAATCATTGGTCAACCCACGGGGAAAATCGTAACAATATGAATCAGCGTATACCAACAGATTGATCCGAATTTTTGAAAAATTGAACATGAAAGTGGCTTTCAAAACTGTTCGAACACTTCAGTAAGTGTTGGGTAACCCAAAAGACAAGACGACCGAAAAGACTTGCGAAATACGCTGTGAGGATTAAGACAAAAAGTGTGTCGGTCAAAGTGGGCATAATATAATTTATTTATTTATTTCATTATTCATTTTTAGTTTTGTTTCACCATATGAGTACAATAATCATCAATATCTATAAAACTACAAATGAAGCTAGAAACAACACGTACTGGAAGAGTACTGTTGATCTCAGTTCTAGCCCTAAAGAAGAGAAAACTGAACTAGAGAAAAAAGAAGAAAAGAAAAGAAAAGAAGGAGATAGGAAAGAGGGAGAGAAAACATTTCAATTGTTCATACTTAAAATTCTACAGAAGTATAAAATCTATGAAATCAATGACTTTCTGACTGACTAGCGATGAGATATTTTTTGTAACTTCACTTGAATAAGAAAATTTTACTAACTAATATAACTAACAAGCTACAAAAACATATTCCGGATATATGATTAATTGGACCAGAGAAGTCTAGTGTCGCTCAATATATCACAGAATAGGTGAGGAATGCTTGAAATTGATAAGACCGGTACACTGTCATCTTCATTGAGTTCTTGAAGAAGTTGAATTTTATATAGGTGCTGTTTAATATATTATAGATTTTTTAGAAATATTTCCTCAAAACAGCTAGTTATCTACTGCCTAATTTCTCACCTGATTTTCAAAATTCCGTGTGGCGACGCATAGTACTAATTCAAAAAATGAATCACATCTTTCCATTTTGAAGAATAAGGGCAAATACTGCCCCTGCTACAGTATTGAAATAAAGTGANTACTAGATGAAGTACCCGCCTTCCTCAGGGAGTTGATATTATAGTTAGAATAAAAAAATTAATTTCAAATAATAAGGAGTCGACGGTCTTATTTTATATACTTCTACCCAGCTATAGAAAAACGACTTCGAATAGTCCATATTTCGCAATGGCCTGCGATGTTCCTGGATGTTCCGGTTACTGAACGTTCCAGACTATTCCCAAACACTGCCCAACATTCCGGTATGTTCTGGAAAAATCCCCAATGGCTACTAAGACTATATAGGAAGACTATAGAAATTCCGAAATAATTTCAACAGAAAAGAAAAGGGAATTAACATTAATGAAGTCTGACTACCTGCACCTAATTGCACACGTATCAGATCATTTAATTCAACCACTAGAAACTGAGCCAGGGAATACTGTACCTATCTACTGAAACAACTAAAGTAGTCAGCTCGTTGCCGTAGTCATAAACGAAACGTCAGGCACGGCTAACAAACCCGGAAAATAACTTTGACATATTCATCCCCGGAAGTGAAAAGACACATCGAATTCTTTTCTGGTTTTTTTTCGATCCCAGTCCACCCTTTCAGTAGCTTTGTACCTACATACTCGCTGGTGAATTTGCAGTAACGACCTACTATCATCGTTCTTTCCTCTAGTAAAATAGTCGCAAATATTTGACAGAATTTCAATACCACTTCAACGACGTTTTGGCATATTGAATAAACACATAGAATTCGTGCTAGTGATTCATATTAGTGATATGAGACTAAATATTATCTGTTTCCTAATAGTGAAAAGTAATAAATGCTAATTATAATAACAAAACGCTAATAGAGTGCCCAAACAAAATTTATGATTTCGTTATGATTTGCCGTAGCTGCTATAGGCCGGTTCATAATACCTTACCAGGTCCACCCTATTGCTGTATCAAGAGCAAAAGATTCAATGGCCGTTCGAGTTGTTTCATCACCTGCAGTGGCGTGTATGTGGGTAATAAATTCAAAAATTATTATTAAAACATCCAAATGGTTTGATTTCAATATTTTGCCCACTTCTTTTATAACATGTCCAATACATTTTCGCCATTTTTCGAAATCGACATTCATTAAGAACCCCTTGAAGTGTATTTCGACATGTTTTATAAAAATGTGTTTATTTTTGTGATGAAAACCTTTAATTGTGACCAAAAGAGTTCAATGGAATTAAGTTAGTAACGCAGAATAATACTATTTCGACATCGTCGGTCTGTTAGAATTAATTTTACCATTTGTTTCGGGTAGCCAAAATTGCTCATTTTGGCTAGAAGTCCGTCGTGTCAAACTCTGTCGAACGCCTTGGAGACATCAAGGAATTTCGCTCCGGTAACACAGATTAAGACACAAGGGCTTCATCAATAATTTATATTGTTCAGCTAGTAAAGTACTTTATTAAGGCACTATTAGATCGAATTATGACGTCATCCTTTTCCAGCAAAAATTGAAAATATCACAGGTAAGCCAGATTCAATCAGGTAAGCTGTTCAGGTATGTGATACATTAAAAAGTGCTTCTGTAAAAAATAATTGAAAATTTCAATCTAAATTGAAAAGTATAAACAAGTTTTGGTGTCTAAAGCGAGGATTACATACTTTTTTACCCACCCTATTACAACTATTACAAGTCTCTTGAGAATTGTTATTATATTACGCCTATATGGAACAGCGATTTGAAAATGATCTTTTACTCTGCTGCTTAAGGAAGTATACTAATTTTGACAGCTACCTAAGGAAGCGAATTTTATGACTTGCAGACGTATCATTGACGAATGTACGGTAGTATTTCTTCATATCGTTCGAAAACATAATATTAGTTTCCATTTACATGTTTGAGAAACATTCCACATTCTTTCTTTCAAACAGCAGATGCTCCACTTGCCCCCAACACCTCGGTTACGCTCGTTGAGCACACAATTCAAAAACAGGTACATCAGGTACAGTTTTTATTATTGTGATTCATAATGATTCGCCGAGTGGATCATGAAGCGATTCTGTCGACTTCAACCTATGCCAAAGTAGTGGTTACGTGAACAGCCTATGCGAATATTTTTAATCCAGTCATTGATTGAGTTCGCCAGTGATAATGTGCTTATGAATATTCCGTTAAGATAGCCTTCCTTCAATGGTACGGGATGGTTCTTTTGTGACTATGATCGAACCGAACGGATCCACGAAAATATCGTTGTGATAGACTGGTGGTAACTTCAGTGAGATTTGTGTTTTAGTCAAGTGAGTATATTTCATTTTTTTGGCTCGAAATTGAGATTGGTGGTAGAATTTTTTGTTGAAAGCATCACCTAGAAAAAGTGGTAGATTCAGATCCTCAAAACAGTTTCCATAAATGTGAGAAAATACTTCGTTCCCAAAAGAGTGTGTCACTGAACGCTATATTTCCATATCTTAGGTTAAAAAATTGAACAAATTCCTAATGTCAATGTGCCAGAACAGAACAAAAATCATAAAAACAGCACTAGGGTTGAGAAGTTTATTCAAGTTGAAGATAAGCCCAACATGAGTTTTATTCCAACACCAAACCGTTATTTCAACACCTCGACACGTGTTTCAATCACNGATTATATATATATATATACTAACATAACTTCTTATTCACATATATTACAATCGATAGCTTCAAAAACACTTCACTAATATTCTTCAAAAGCTTCTGATTATTCCTCTTCCATATTCTCTGTTTCACTATCAATGTCGTCATTTAAATCAATAATGAATTTATTTCCACCATTAATATAGAAGTGTCCAATCTCCATATAGTCTTTTTCAACTGAAATTATTTTTTTCAATCTTTTCTGCTAGTCTTCTCCGGTAATATTAGATACTTGTTCTGTAACTAGCTCTATTACATTCTTATCAAAATTTTGGAAAATTATTTTTACGCCTGATGCTTTGTTTCAATTTGCCCAAATAAACTCGATGGGATTGAAAACACAAAAATAGGGGGAAGTCTCAGTATAGTGAGCCCATACTTTTCAGCAATACTCTGAAGGGAATATACTTTTTCAAATACTTTTATTTGTAAAACTTCAATTAGTTGTATTTCATCTTTCCTTGAATTATTATTCGGTACTTTGATGAGCTGTCGCGAATGATAGGAAACGTTGTTAAGAACTATTAAAGTATTCGCATCCAAATTTGGGATCAATATGTTTTCAAACCATTCCTCAAAAATATTAGCTTCCATGTTCTCATGATAGTCAACATTGCAGTCCTCAAGTTTTTTTCCACATGATTTCAAAGAATTTGGAACCCATCCTCTACTTCCTCCGCAATGCACAATGAGTCTATTGTTTGCAGACATGTTAGGCGTACACATTATCGAAACTCAGTCCACCCTTTCGTAACTGTGTCGTGGGTGTCGTCCGAATAGAAAATTTGCCGTTGTTTTTGTCTATATTTAATTATTTGTTCTAAGTATTTGTTATGCAATTCCACTATTCTTCTGCTTTCCGTAACTGCTTGACGTTTGTTTATTATTTTAAATCTAATTCCTAGTTTCTTTATCCAATTCTGAAGAATTTTGTATTCAATTTCTTCCTTATGATTTCAGTTGTAGGAATTTCATTGATTTTGTAACAGTCGTATATTGTTTTTTTCAATGATTTTATTAGATGAACATCTAAAGGTTTGGGTAATCCCGTATCACATCGCGTCTTGCGTTCAAAAGGTTTGTTTTTGACTACTTTTCGTACAGTTGAGAAAGGAATTTTGGTCAAATCTGATGTTGCTTGTAATAGTTTGTATCTCTCGAAACCAAACTCGAAATGTAGATTATTTTATACATTGAAACATACTCTCTGTGTTTCAATATTCAAATGCATCCGGATCTTATTCACTGGTATCTCTTTTTCGCATTGTTCACCATCGCTATTGGAATCACTACACAGGAAAAAGTCTGCGTTGTTATCACACTCGTTATTACTATTAGTACTTGTCCAAGAACGCCACATTTTAAACAGATAACAACAACGGTGATACTCATCCCCACATTATATTCGTCACCGTAACATGACTTCAAATTTAATTTTACGACTCTTCAGCCAATCTTAAAACTCGGTTAGTAAAAATTATCCAATACGAACCGCCAATTCTAATTTACTGTCAATCAATAAATGGAATCCATGAGTTACAAACCTACGTAGCAGACTTTATTAAAACATTTAGAAGACCATTATGGTGGTGATATCATTATATACTCTTCGCAATGAGCTCGGTAATGAACTGAATCCGGAAGATTGGGGCTGGATAAAGGCTGGAAACTATGTTTTATGCAGATCAAAAAACAGGAAAATTAGCGAGACAGGAGTTGAGACTGGCCTGAAAGAATTGTTCCTTTAGATGATTTTAGTAAAATTAGCTCCTGATAATCTGTTGAAATTAGTCCACTGCAATTGCATTAAAAACTGGATGCCGAAAGGCTAGACTTCCATGTTCGTCTTTTTGCAAACATTGCAAAAGAGATATTTATGAAAATGGCAAAAAGGTTGCAATTGAAGATAACGAATTCAACGATACTGCCGAAGCCGAAGTTTTTATTTCAATTTTCTTCTTCTTATTCTCCTTCTTCTTCTTCATAGTCTTCCAGTCGCTGTAAAATTTTAAATTCCTCTGTCTCAAGTTCTTCCAGGATTTCGGGGTCAAAAGTACAGTCTTCATTAATATCACTCTGAGATGAATCATTAGGACAAGCTTGTCCACATCGCGCACAACCATTCTTGAAGTTGCATAATATTGTGTTAAGCAATTCCTCCGGAGCTGGTGCAGTCATTGTTATAACAGGTTTCAGGAATTAATCACGCATTATCCAACTCCAATTGTGGGGTTCTAAATCATGCCCTAACTAAGTCTGAACTTGATAATAACCACGGTTAAAAATGTTGTTGCGCTGCTGCACTCCTTGGAGAAGATTTGATAACTGCATAGGTTTATTCAGTTTCATTATCTTTATGAACTGTGCATAGCGAAGACGATCCATGGAGTCCTCAGATTTTGGAGCATTATAAATTGCCAAATAGATTCGCAGCACTCCATTCTCAAATAATGATTGAACCGGGCAGTTTTATTCAAATGTCGCAGCAGCATTCCGAGATACTAACTCTCATTGTACTAATATTCCTAGACTAACGGTCGGAAGTTCGTTCAAGAAATATAGAAATTTTTATCATTATTCTTGATTAATATTACAGGAGTGTTTTTATCCAACACCAAAGAGAAAGATTAATCTTCAAGAGAAAGATTAATCTTCGTCTTCAAGAGGACGATCACCAAGTGATCATCTTGAAGAGGAAGATTAATCGATAATCACTTGGAGATCGAAACACGTGTCGAGGTGTTGAAATAACGGTTTGGTGTTGGGAAAAATTCCAGTAATGTTCATTACTACACCAAAGGTTCCAAACAATGAATCACAAGTATTACACTAAATTGATTGATTCTCCAAAAATCATTGTAATAGACTAGTAGACATTGAAGACAATAAATGATAGTGTCATCATCTTTATTATAGTAAATTTTTGATAATTTTGAGTTTGAATATTGTATAACCGTTTTTCACATTTGTTGTATATTTGACATTATTGTTTTTTATATTGATGTTGTCTTGCGCTATGGCACACTCAAAATAAGAGTGAATTCTCTTCTCGAGTATGTCCATGTTTTATGTATATTTTAAATGTTGAATTATTTTTCATTCACGATATCTCAAAACAAGTGTCAACTCACTTATCGAGTATCATCATTTACAGTTCCGGAAATGGAAATGTATATAACTGTTATTTTATTAAGTATTAATGGAGTGAAACTATATAATAAAAAGTAGTAGTAGAATCACATCAAAACAAATGCCATGTAGTTCCTATAACTGCAAGGAAAATGCTTCGTTTCCAGAAGAATATATCACTGAACATGTAAAAATGGCATACCAACTGCACGAAAGCTGGGAAAAATTATAAAGACAGTACTAGGGGTCAGAAGTTTATTCAGTTTATGACCTGAAAGGATATCTTGCATCATTATAAAGCAGTGCATCATAATGACAAATTCATAAAGGTGATTTTCAATTTGTTCATTTCAACAGACGTGTAGCTTAACGTAACAGCTAAAATTTTCTGGTTCAGATTGTTTAGGTCGAACCCAAAACAAGCACTCCTTCAAAACACCAGAACTGCAATATACTATTTTCAAAGCGCGTTTCTCCAACCAAGTTGGCGTTAACCATAGAGATCATTTGTTTTCTTTCGTTCTAAAACAATGATGATGGAGGTCATTAGATGTTTCAACACGACAGCAGTTACAACATGAAAGCAGTCCTCCGCATTAATGGCCATCGATTCATACCTTACATATGTTGTCATATTTCTATAAAAAAATCAACTCCATGTCAGCCACCCCCTCCCCATAACGACTCGCATGTCAAATATTTCATATAGGAATAAATATTCCCTTGTATTTATTCCTGTGATATTTTTGATATTATAACGATAAGCAGTGTCGGAAAAAACTTGTTTGAGTTTATATTCAACTTCGAACATCTCATACCCAGTAAATTCTGAATAGTCAACGACAACTTCATTATAAAACATGATGAATTTCCAAGACTCGAGTTTTTCTTCGAGGATCATCTATTACAAATCGTGTCGCAATCACTGATTTCTTATAACCGTAGTTTATCATTTCCAACCGTGTCTAATGAGACACGCAACCGTAGTTTCATTAAGAATTGATATTGATTTTAATGATTTTCCCCATTATCGAGAGTACGTTCAGAACAAAATCAATGATTCGAAATTGATGTTTCAGAACGAGGTTACTTTTAATCGCGTGCACTGTAGGATAGGTTCAACATAATCCCAGTTTAACTGCTTTAAAATAATCTACTTTGTAATGATAGCAGTTACTGGTTTAATATACGAACATGTCCTCCGGGCTGGTAGGCTGTGGTTGAAAAGAAATATCAATCGTTTCGACTGCTGATGCGGCAGACTTCTTCAGTCGCTTATGGTTGACTACGAAGATGACTACCTTTGCCTTGGCAGTATGGAATCGTATTTATACTAGCTGGGGGTGGTGGGGTGTCTACGGGAATATTTTAACCTGAGTACTTTTCAATTTTATTGAGTTTTTGTCGAAATCAATTAAAAAAACCAAAACGGAATATTTATTGAAAACATCAACTTGAATCCAATTACAGTCGTGAAAAAAAATACAGAATTGCC